TGCCATATTCCCTGTAAGCTTCATTAAATAAGACAAACTCGATGCATTTGAGACTTTAACAACGTTTACCCAGAAGTGTACAAAGTTCATTCAAATTTTAGCATTGCACGCGTGTGCATGTGAATGCATGTGCGTAATGACCATATCATCTTGTCTACACAATCTATATATTTAAATATACTAAATATTAATGTATTTAATCCAAAAGTATTAAAAAGGTACGCTCATTCAAGTGTTTTTTTTTATTTTGCTCATTTCACATGCACGCACGTGCATACATGATCATGGTAACCATATCTACTTGTAGATGTCCGTTACATCTATCTATGTTCTAAATCTCACCCCGTTTGGTTGAAAACGAAGGGAGTTATAGCTGTTAAAGTTTCAGCCAATCAGATTGCAGCGCACGAACATGCACGTGTGTGCATGTGCATGGTGACCATATTTTCTTGTAGTAGTCCAGTATATCTATCTATGTTCCAAATCCCATCCTGTTTGGTTGAAAATCAAGGGAGTTATAGCTATTTAAAGTTTAAGCCAATCAGATTGCAGCGCACGTGCATGCACGTGTTTTCATGATAATTGCTATATGTCATGTTGTAGGATATACTAATGCATGGCTATTTTCAAAATTGCAAAGGATTTCGTCAAAAAACAAGAAAGATATTGAGACTTTAGTTTCAGCCAATCAGAACGAAGCGCACGTGCATGCGCGTGAGATCTTGCTATTTTGACCATGTCATATTGTCTATGCTTCTAATATATCCTTATATTATAAGTTTCAAAGCATTTCATCAAAAAATTTAAAAGTTACGCCTATATCAATGAAATCGGTCATTTCACATGTTGCACGTGCACGCTCTTGCAAGCACGTGCGCGCAAAATGACCTTCGTTCCGCAAATCTACATAACATGTCTACTGACCCTAAAAACATTTCACCTTAGTCGGATGTATAGTTTACGAGATCATTCCCGGACAAAAAAGTACCCAGGAAGAAGAAGAAAAATAATAATAATAATAATAAGAAACAGAGTAAAAACAATATGTTCCCCAACTTCGTTTGGGGAACATAATAACTAGTGCTAATTGTAACGGGAACCGTTACAGATGTTCCCCAAACGCTCCCCGACTCCCTTTCGGTGCCATATTCCCTGTAAGTTTCATTAAATAAGACAAACTCTGTGCATTTTTGACTTTAACAACGTTTTCCCAGAAGGATACCAATTATATTCAACTTTTAGCATTGTACCCAAGCGCATGTGAATGCATGTGCGTTATGACCATATCATCTTGTCTACACTATTTATATATTTTATTATACTATATATTAAAGCATTCAGTCCAAAAGTAATAAAAATCACTCATTCAAGAGTATTTTTAAGTATACTAGTTTCAAATGCACGCACGTGCGTGCACGTGCATGATGATCATACCTTCTTGTAGGTGTCCCTTACATCTATCTATGTTCTAAATCCCATCTTGTTTGGTTGAAAAACAAGGGAGTTATAGCCATTTAAAGTTTCAGCCAATCAGATTGCAGCACATGTGCATGCGCGTGATTTCATGATTTTATTTTCTATATCATTTTGTAGGATATCCTAATGCATGACAATATTTTAAATTTCAAAGAATTTCGTCAAAAAACAAAGGAGATATTGCCATTTAAAGTTTCAGCCAATCAGCTTGCAGCACGCGCACATGCGCATGCTTTCACGAAAATTCTTATATATCATGCGGTAGATCTTCATAATGTAGGACTATGTTCAAAATTTCAAAGGATTATGACAAGAAACAAGAAAGTTATTGAGACTTTAGTTTCAGCCAATCAGAGCGAAGCGCACGTGCATGCGCGTGAGATCTTGCTATTTTGACCATGCTATCTTGTCTATACTACTAATGTATCCTTACATTATGAGTTTCAAAAAATTTCATCAAAAAATAGAAAAGTTATGGCAATATCCATTATATTGGTAATTTCAGCTATTGCACGTGCGCGCTCTTGCAAGCACGTGCGCGCAAAATGACCTTTGTTTGGCAACTCTACATAACATGCCTACTAACCCTAAAAAGGTTTCACCTAAGTCGGATGTGTAGTTTACAAGATCACTCGTGGACAAAATTTTCCCAGGAAGAAGAAAAATAATAATAAGAATAACTAGTGCTAATTGTAACGGGGACCGTTACAGATGTTCCCCAAACGCTCCCCAACTCCCTTTTCATGCCATATTCCCTGTAAGCTTCATTAAATAACACAAACTCTATGCATTTGAGACTTTAACAACGTTTACCCAGAAATGTACCATGCTCATTCAAATTTTAGCAATGCATGTTTGCGCATGTGAATGCATGTACGTAATGGCCATATCATCTTGTCTACACAATCTAAATATTTTAATATACTAAATATTAAAGTATTTAATCCAAAAGTATTTAAAAAATTCGCTCATTCAAGTGTATTTTTGATTTTGCTCATTTCACGTGCATGCACGTGCATACATGAGCATGGTGATCATACCTTCTTGTAGAAGTCCATTACATCTATCTATGTTCTAAATCCCATCCCGTTTGGTTGAAAACCAAGGGAGTTATAGCTGTTTAAAGTTTCAGCCAATCAGATTGCAGCGCACGTACACGCACGTGTAGGCATGTGCATGGGGACAATACCTTCTTGTAGTAGTCCTCCAATACATCTATCTATGTTCCAAATCCCATCCTGTTTGGTTGAAAACCAAGGGAGTTATAGCTGTTTAAAGTTTCAGCCAATCAGATTGCAGCTCACGTACACGCACGTGTATGCATGTACATGGTGACCATACCTTCTTAAAGAAGTCCATTTTATATATCTATGTTCCAAATCCCATCCTGTTTGGTTGAAAACCAAGGGAGTTATAGCTATTAAAGTTTCAGCCAATCAGATTGCAGCGCACGTGCATGCACGTGTTTTCATGATAATTTCTATATATCACGTTGTAGGATATCCTAATGCATGGCTATGTTCAAAATTTCAAAGGATTTCGTCAAAAAACAAGAAAGATATTGAGACTTTAGTTTCAGCCAATCAGAGCAAAGCGCACGTGCATGCGCGTGAGATCTTGCTATTTTGACCATGTCATCTTGTCTATATTACTAATATATCCTTACATTATGAGTTTCAAAGCATTTCATCAAAAATTTAAAAAGTTACGCCAATATCAATTAAATCGGTCATTTCACGTGTTGCACGTGCGCGCTCTTGCAAGCACGTGCGCGCAAAATGACCTTTGTTCGGCAAATCTACATAACATGTCTACTGACCCTAAAAACATTTTACCTTAGTCGGATGTGTAGTTTACAAGATCACTCAAGGACAAAATTTTCCCAGGAATAATAATAATAATAATAATAAGAAACAGAGTAAAAACAATATGTTCCCCAACTTCGTTTGGGGAACATAACTAGATGCGTTCTTGTTGCTGGTGCAACAAGTAGGTCTTCCGACTGACTTCTCTTTTGCAATCTAGTCTGCGTCATCCCATGAAAAAGTTTTCATAATGTATTTTTACGTTAACGTTCATTTACAGTAGTTTCTCAACACAGATCGTGATTGTTCCAGGTAATTAACAAAATATCTCCAAATATAGCTTTGAAAAATCGACAAAATCTTCCACACATGTTATAGAAGAGTGAAAAGTAATTTACAACTAAAAAAGACAAAAACAAAGAAAAAATTTGGGGAACGCCCCGAGCGGGATTCGATCCCGCGACAGCAAGACAAAGTTTGGTTCGGTCATATCTTTGCAATAAACGCACGCATGAAAAAAATGAAAACATATATAGATACCTTTGAAGACGCTCTATAAACCCTGTAAATCCGAAAGAAAAATATTGAAAAACAAAAAAGTTGAAAAATTGGACTTTTTGAATTCACTTCCGTTTGCGACCGGAAGTAGGAACGACAAAAAATGAAGGACGTTCGGCACATCTACATCTGATGCTTTTTCATTTCCATGAGTTTCAATTACATATCTTTAACCGTTTTCAAGAAAACTGGGGTACAAAAATCCATTTAAAAAATACAAATTTCCCCAAAAATCGCGAACGGAAAAAAAATTTGAAAAAATGAAAAACACGTCTGGAGATATTAACCTGCTGCATCTTTCCTGTAAAAATCTTTTAAATCCGTACAGTCACAGCTGAGATATCGCCATAGAAATGAAAAAAAGAATAATAATAATAATAATAGGAAACCGACGGAAAACAATAAGGTCTTCCGAAGGAAGTCGGAAGACCTTAATAATAATAAGAAACAGAGTAAAAACAATATGTTCCCCAACTTCGTTTGGGGAACATAATAATAAGAAACAGAGTAAAAACAATATGTTCCCCAACTTCGTTTGGGGAACATAATAATAATAAGAAACAGAGTAAAAACAATATGTTCCCCAACTTCGTTTGGGGAACATAATTAAGCAGCACGCCTACGATCGTTCTCTCCAAAGGTGCAAGGTGAAGGTCATTTTGTATGTGACATAATAATATTATCTGACTTAAAGTACACGTACTAGCATGAAATAGGAATCTACAGTATGTCAAATTATGAATCTTTGAAGAAGATATACTAGTAGTATAAAATTAATCATACAAAAGATGCTATTATTTAGCCTTCCATGGTCTTTTTTTTTTATACCCCCACCTAAAAACAAAAAGAGGGCGACATTATGCAGCTAATAAATGTGTTAAAATAAATTGTCACAAAAATCCTTCATTAATGTGACATTTCTATGACAATAATCATTACAGATGAAACAAACATACGAAATCATGTGATTATAACTGAAAAGCCTGTGTAGAAAAGTAATAAATATTCAATCTATGCATACATGTAGTTCTATGTGAAAGTGGAAAAGAACAAATACATACCTCATCCAAATATCTCGGGGAAAAGCAAATTTATTGATAAAAATGAACAATATATAAATTCAATGATTACATTAAATTTTTAAAAAGAGCTATGGTGTACCCTGTACATGTATTTGGCAGCCTTCAAGTAAAATGCTGCCTTGTAAAATAGGATTTTTAAATCACATTCTTGCAGTTTTCTGTTTATAAGGACTTTATTTATACAATTACCGGGTAATAATAAATAAAATTAAAAAAAAATTGATAAATTTTAAAGGAAGATTTTTTTTGTGAAAAATGAAAGCCTTAGCAATACCTGTTGAAAAGTTATGGCCGAGGATAAGTTTTTGTAAGGTACATCAAACTCCAGGGTCAAGGTCAAAGGGATAAAGCTGTTGGTTTTTGAAAAAAAGGTCTTGTCACAAGGATTACATATTTAAAATATGAAAGCCATGGCCCTTACCGTTCGAAAGTTATGGTCAAGGTTAATATTTTTGAAAGTAGTTCTAACATCAAGGTCAATGTCAAAGGGTCAAGGTCAATATCAAATGAAAAGTCTTGTAACAAGGATTAAAAATGTGAAGTATGAAAGCCCTACCCCTAACCGTTCAAAAGTTATGGCCAGGATTTAAGATTTATCAGAAGTATGGAAATCTTTAAGGTCAAGGTTGTTGGTATCCAATGAAAGATCTTGTCACATGTAATACATATGTGAAGCATAAAAGTCCTAGTATTTACCGTTCAAAAATTATGGCAATTAATTTTTAAAGTTTTTTTTTCATAAGTATGGAAATCTCCAAGGTCAAGATGGATTTTTGGTGTAAAATTGGGTAAAACTCCAAGATCAAGTAAAATTTGGTGCCAAGAGAACCAAGTGAAAGGTCTTGTCACAAGGAATACACATGTAAAATATGAAAGTCATAGCTCCACTAAATCAAAATTTATGGTCAAAATTAATGTTTTGTGGAAAACAGACCAACAGACAGATAACAACAATAACTATACTTTCAATTAATTCAAATCAAAAACTTATCTTTTTTCACAATTTACCATAGCGTTAAGAAACAAACCTATCTTTATTCTTCATATAAAATACTAAACAAGGATACCTGAAAAATAATTTAAACCAGAATTCTCTGTCAAGACTGTAGCTCTATTGGTTTGTACTTTAAACAAAGGAAGAGAAAATAAGCAGTCGGGACTTGAAACTATACAACAGCAAACAAATGAAATAATGATCCTTGACTAAGTCTCATTTTGTGGCAACACTGCAATAAGACTAAAACTGTAGGAGTAGCTTTTCATAAGTTTTTACAGAATTCTCAATTTCTGAGTTACCATGGCAACATCATTTATCAAAATAATAATACAAAACAATGAAAACAATTATTATCACAGTGTAGACTATTTGCATGCTACATTATACTAAAATCAGACTTAATCTGTATTTGGAGTAGCATTTTCAAGATAATTTACTGAAATTTCTATTCTTAATAACCATGGCAACACCGTTCATTGAAATCAACGTAAGGATCAACTTACTTCGCGACTCTTGAGCAGGGGCTCCAACCAAAGAGCCACGCACTCAGCCGGATAGTACAGTTAGTAGAGCACCTGACAAGAGGTCCGGGTTCGAATCTCAGTCTGATCCTTTGTGTATTTTTCTCCTGTTACAGGTCATTAAACCAAGCTGATGGAGCTCCAGATATATGTGCCCATTTACTCCCCCCTTTTTTATATATAAGTGTCAATTGACAAAACACAAATGACAAAAATCATAGCCCTCATAGTAGTTAGCATGTCTACGTGTACATACCTTTTGATCCCACTCCTCGTTTCATTCCTCTGTTCTTTTGCTACACCTACAAACAAGAGAGTTGTTTCCAGATTAATGTCTACATTTCTTAAATATTTTTTTCCAAAGGATGCTTGATAGCAAGTTTATATGAAAGTAAATGCCCTGTATTTCTAGAAAAGTCCAAAAAAATTCAGGGATGGGGTATTATTATTTCTTATATTCCTTGGGCATATTGGGCATTAATTATGATTCATGTTATTTACAAATGAATATCAAATGTCAAGCTTTGCAAATAAATTAATATACACTGATATATAGAAAAAGCTCACATTTAGAAGTTCGATACTGAACAATTTTTGGGCGTTCTTCCGGCAGCACGTTCTGTATGGGTCTTGTGTACGCATGACAATTGAAATCCTCCACCATCTCCTGGGACATTCCCCGAACTTCCACTTCCACTTCATTTTCAAAATTATGGCTGGATTTGGCCTGTCATAATAGAATGAATGGGAAAAAATGGGAATGAAAGAAAAAAAGATTCCTGTGACTGTTATTGATGTGCAAAAACTTAACATAGAGATATTAACATACTGACAGAAATAGCGGAATTGTTTACAAATAAAAGAGAAGTATATATAAATACCTCTAAATTTTACTTGATACTTAATCTCAAAAATCATAGTAAACGTACTACATTTGGCAGTGTATTTTATTTAGCAAATTTTCTGAAAAATAATTTCACGCCAAATATTATACATTTACCGCATATGCCTAGAATAAGTCATGAAAATTTATTTATTAAAAAAAATATTGACTTTTTATCAAGTTTTTCTACAAGTATAATTGCTAAAAAACTATATAATACGAGGGGTGATCAAAAAGTTCCCGAACTATCTCTATATCTACAAAACCACATTTCCGATTAGAATGAAATTCGGTACACACATAGCCATACACAAGGTCTATAAATAGCATATGCTGTATAAAGTTTCTCTCCTTGTTTGTGACGTCACAATGTGAAAATGACGTCACTATTTAGGTTACTTGTGACGAAAAATGGTTGTCCCAGTCGAACTCGTTCAACAAATGACTGTACAATATATTGTATATCTTAGAAATCCCTCTACAGTATCATATAATAATTTTTACACAGTTTATTGAGATAAATGAGTTCCTATAAATTCAATTAATGATTGGATTAATCGTTTTAGTGAAGGAAGGCTGATGGTTAAAAATGATACTTGTCATCTTGCCCAGTGAAAGCAAGTTTGAAAAGATATGTATTTTTAATTAAGCAATTTTCTATCAAAGACCTCCAATTAGCACTTTGAAAAAAAGTTGAATATTTGAACAATGATATAAGTATTAAATATCTAAGATATCGTTTACTTTAGATTTTAAACATATTAGATATGATAAAAAGGATGCACCCATTCTCTATCCACCTTGAATAAATGTCTCTCCTGAGACAGAAGATTTGTGTTTTAATGGTCGCCATGCTTATTTTTGGAAAGGATGTTATTATCCACCCATTCTGTTGCCGAGATATGACCATTTCTGACAAATGAACTGTTTTTGTCATAAAAATTAACTCACATGAAAAGAAATATAAAACTAGGAAAAATCTTTTAAGTTTTGTGACAGAACGCTACGGAAGGGGTCACGTGACCGCCAATATCACGTGATTCGCGCATGCGCAGAACGGTTGTTGATTTCCATTAAAATCGGGGAGGATTAATTTGAAATATAATCAACATTAAAACCAAATATTGTTTCTTGTATGGAAGTGATTCAATTAGTTTGCGAACTTTTTGATCACCCCTCGTATATAAATAAATGAATAAATTAGAACAATTTTTTTCTACAGTCCCCGATATGTTTCTGAATGGTTAATTAATATATATTCATGCAAACATAAAACACATGTTAAACATGATGGATATATATTATTTAAAAAAAATAATAATGCTGAATTAGCCGCATTCCATGTACAAATCTTTTAAACCATTAAAATATATGGTAAAGTTAAAAAAATAAACAATAAATCCAAAGAAATTTGAAGATATTTAAAAAAAATCTGATGACCTACTTCTAAGTACTCACTGACAATTTGTTGGCCATCCCTCCTGTTCACATGGACCTCTAGTGGGTCGTCTTGATTTAGCCCGACTGCTGTCTGAGCCCTTGTTAAATAAAACATAACAGTTGTTTGAATAAAATTCATGTACTTCACAGTACAACACGGTGCTGAAACAGTGTTAATATTTTTTGTGTTTTAAACCAGAGTTATATACATTCAAACTAAAATAGAATAGGAGACATTCATTAAAGAAAAGAATGGGGTTAAATGAGGTCTTCTCTTACAAGAGAAAGTGGAATAAACTTCTTGTAACTCACAATGGTTATGAAACGAATGTTAATATACTGAAAATCACGTTTTATTCGTCAGAACTTTATTTTCGCGTAATTAAGCGAAATAATGAGCTCGCGAAAATTTCATTCTCACGTTTAAAAGTTTTCCATACGATTATATAGAGGAAAATTAACAATTCGTGAAAATAATGTCTGGCTTATAAAGAGTCAATGGCTATCTCGCGAAAATAAGGTGTTGCGAAAATTTAGTGATCTACAGTTATTGTTTTTGATATTTATATGTTGAAAATAAATCAAAATTATTTTACCAATTGGCCATTTTGATCATTCCGACGACGTTCTGGTTCTGTCTGAGCGGGGGGAATTTTCGGAAACAAAGAAAGACCTCCTTCCTAGACATAAGGGTAAACCTTACACACCCCATGTCCTTCTCGATGTGACGCACTCTTTCCTCATAGTCATGGTGGTTGATCCATGATGCTGCGACCAGAAAGATCTGAAACTCCGATTTGACCTTGATGTTGTCAGCAGACAATATTACACAGAGGGTGTCCAGGTCAAGGTTAAAAAACTCCCTAACTTCCATGATTTCCTGGAAATTGTTGGCAATTTTCCTGAGAATCAATTTACACATTCTAACATCATTAATTTTGCTTTTGCCATAGATTGTAAAATTCGCAGCAAGTCTTTATTTTTCAGATGTTCGATTTCACCGAGACATAATGTCCTTAGATGTTCCACTTTAAAAACAAGTGATAACTTAAGCAGTTCACTGAAACAAACAGAGTTTATGTCAATTTTCCCTGTATATAGGGAATCTAGAAATGACAGCAGGGCATCTTCAGAAACTCCCCTCAATTTAATTATTTTAGGGGCCTCTGGTTCTTTGGAAAACTTGTCTTTCTCGAAAATTTCGGCAAACAATGAGCTCTGTGCAGCCAAAACTATTTTGTGTCCAGGGAATATTTTACCCCCTAATTTAAAAGCAATATCACAGATTTCACCTCGCTTGTATTTCTGAGAAATGTACTCTCCAAGGTGTCTGTAGTGGGAGACGTTGTTTTCGTTCTGCTCTATTGCAGCGTCACTTATTATGCCCCCGGATGAGAGATCGGGGGTATATTGTTTTTGTCCTGTCTGTCTGTCTGTCTGTCTGTCTGTTTGTTTGTTTGTTTGTTTGTTTGTTTGTTTGTCCCACAACTTTAACCTAGCCCATAACTATTGAGTGGTTGGGGCTATGGCTTTCATAATTCATAGGTGTGTTACTTGTGACATGACCTTTCTTTGGGTACCACCAAATTTGACCTCTTGACCTTGACCTTGGAGTTTGACCTACTTTTATTCTATTTGTTATCAACTTTAACCTTTGCCATAACTTTTGAACAGATCGAGATAGAGACTTCATATTTAAAATGCATACTCCACTAGATAAGCACTTTCAACTGACACCAAGGACAATGACCTTTTGACCTTGACTGTGACCTATGTGCTAAAAATAGATTTTTAGAACTTTCGGTATAACTTTTGAACCATAGGAGATAGAGACTTTATATTTGGTATGCCTACTTCACTAATTAAGTGCTTTCAAATGACACCAAGGTCAATGACCTTGTGACCTTGACTGTAACCTTTATGCTAAGAATAGCTTTTTCGAACTTTGTTGCCGCCGGGGGCACAGTGTTTCACAAACACATCTTGTTTTTTGTTTTGTATTTTCGTTGAGATCCTTATCTGGAATGAAAAAAATCATAAGATGATGGACAAAACATGTCTAATTCAGACTCCTGATTTCTAGAAAGGGCACAGCTTTCTGGATTTAAAAAATGAAAGGGACTGTTACCAGTGCCGTTGAAGGAGCTGGTGCTGGTGATGGAGCTGGTGCAACTTTCACTTCTCAGGGAAGACTGCCTATGAGTTTTGGATGCTGTAAATGTAAAAATGGCTGTGTAGATCAAATTAATTCTCTAATTAGATTTGTATAATAAAAGCAAAAGTCTAAATCCTGAAAATAAATACTTATTATCCTTAATTGTACAGCGAACAATTGTTTGCATTTTTATGCGAGATACTGCTACTTACAAACAGATGACTTCCTGCTTTTTCAAATTATACAAAATACCAAAGAAATTATGAATACATGGGAATGATTACATCTTATAAATATTGCATAAAGTGGAGTGTAACATCGGACATTTTCACCCCAAGAAAACCATTGCCAACCGAGGCGCAGCAGATAACACTCGGGCCTTCAACATGCTACTTTTACATGTAACACAAAATTGAAAAAATACAATATGTAAAGAAAATAAAGAGCACAAGATAGAAATATAAGCAAAAAAGGTACAAAATAAAAAAAATAAAGATAAAATAATCAACTTACCAGTGATTACTATTCAATAAGAACTTACCAGTGATAACAAAAATTATATATTAAGTAACAAGTGATAACAAGGATTATATAATAACTTACTAGTGATAACAAGGATTATATAATAACTTAACAGTGATTACAAGGATTACATAATAACTCAATAGTGATTACAAAGATTATATAATGACTTAACAGTGATTACAGGGATTACTATATAGAATATCTTTAAGTGATTTCAAAGATTTTTAAAAAACTTATCAACGATTACAAGGATTACTTTAAATAATAACTTAAAAGTGATTACAAAGATTATATATATCAGACAAGTTTTTTACGTCTTAAAAACAAGGGCCTGGGCCTTTCCATTTGCCATATGACTAAATAAGTGACAATAAGGATGATATTACAACTTATCAATAATTACAAGGATTATACCCCGGTATAATAACTTAACAGTGATTACAAGCAATATAAAACAAGCAGTCTTTGAGTCAAGTCACAATAGTGATACCCCTACTCTGGTGTGAATATACACAATCATCGTAGCATTAACAAGTTCAATACGGGCAGATGCATAGATAAATGGGAAGTTGACATCAGATTAGAATAAAAATACACATGTTCAGTTACGGACAGATGCACAGATAAACAAGAGGCCCATGGGCCACAACGCTCACCTGAGTAACTGGCCATGCTGTTCTCCACCAGATCCTCCCCTTTGTATTACCTATTGTGGCTCCGCCCTATGCCCGGGTTCATGATTTGAACAATTCAGAATTAACACTACCCCAGAATGCTTCCACAGAAGTTTCAGTTTCTGTATAATTTGATTACGTGACCGACTTCATCTCATATCCCTATGAAACTCTAAAATCCATAGCTTATTTCTTATATTGATATTATCATTTTTTATTCGTGTGACAAGGAAAAAAAGGCACTATTTAGACTATTTAGACTTTGCTATGGTAATGCAACGTAACGTATGTACGACGTCATGTGAAGTCACAATCTGAACTTTCCAAATAGCTCGTGCAGTTTGCTTTCCACATGCAAGAAAATCGAATCATATGACCACCTGCATGTCAATTATGAAAATTGAATTACAATTCCATTATCATGTTATATAAGGAAAGACATCAGCAAATGTAAATATTAGTTCTTGAGAAAAAGATTTTTCCTATACATTTCAATGTAAAACTTTGATCCCCTATTGTAGCCCCGCCCTAACCCCGGGGTCATGATTTGAACAATTTAGAATCCATACTAACCCAGAATGCTTCCACATAAGTTTCAGCTTTTCTGGCTCATTGGTTCTTGAAAAGATTTTTCCTATATATTTCAATATAACACTTGGATTCCTTGGCCCCGTCCTATCCCCGGGGGTTATGATTTGAACAACTTAGAATCTTAATTACCCAAAAATGGTTTCTCATAAGTATAAACTTTTTTTTCTATTATTTCAATGCAAAAAAAAAACGTTGATTCCCTATTGTGACCCCGCCCTAACCCGGGGTCATGATTCGAACAATTTTAGAGTCTACACTACCTCAGAATGCTTCCACATAACTTTTAGCTTTCCTGGCTCAGTGGTTCTTGAGAAGTAGATTTTTAAATTTTTTTGCTTGATATTTAAATGTAAAACTTTGATTCCCCAGGGGCCCTGCCCAACCCGGGGGGGGGGGGGGGTGTTCATAATTTGAAGAATTTAGAATCTACACTACCCCAGGATGCTTCCACAAAGTTTCAGCTTTCCAAGCCGAGTGATTCTCGAGAAGTTTTTTTTAATTTTAATTTTTATTATTATTTTTTAATTTTTACTATACAATCATTAGAGCCTCGCCCTAACACCAGAACCTCCACCCAGGGGCCATAAAATTGACAACTTTGAAAGAATCATCCTTCCTCATCAAAACTATGTACATAGTTCATTGGTTTAATACCCAGGAGCAGAGAAGAAGATTTTTAAAGAATCAATGTATTTTCACTATATACATGTACTGTAAACCAACTTTTATTCGCAATGACTTTATTTCGCGGTTTACCAGGGAGAACTAGATCGCGACGATTAATTTTCGCGATCAAACCTTTTTTAATCTGTTGTTAATAGACACAGAGACTTTAATGACAGGTTCGCGACGAGAAAAAATATGTTAAAATATTCGTGATAACGAGGCTCTCGCGAATTTCGCGAAAATTTCTCGCACGCGAATTGAAGTTGGTTTACAGGAGAAAAGAGCCCTGCCCTAACACCACAATCCCCAAACAAGAGGCCACACAAGAAAACAGTGAGCCAATGCTCACTAGTAATACCCCCGCTCTGATGTAAATAAACACTATCATTTTAATATACACAAGTTCAATTACAGGCAGATGCACAGAAAAATATGAAGTTGACATCAGATTCATATCAAAATAATTATTCCCACCATATGGCATGCCTCAGAGAAGACTGTGTTGAAATTTCAAGCATCTGTATTGAGTAGTTGCTGAGAAAACTGCGACAAAACTTTGTTATGTATGAAAAGGACAGATGCACAGGAAGTTGACATAGGATTTGAACAAAAATGTATCCCATCATGTGGCATGCCTTAGAGAAGATTGTTTTAAAACTTCAAGCATCTGCGATAAGTAGTTGCTGAGAAAACTGCGACGAAAATTTGTTATGCATGAAACAGAGACAGACGCACAGACAAACAGGAAGTTGATACTAGTTTTGAACAAAAATGTATCCCACCATATGACATGCCTCAGAAAAGATTGTGTTAAAATTTCAAGCATCTGCGATAAGTAGTTGCTGAGAAAACTGCGACGGAAATTTGTTATGTATGAAACAGAGACAGATGCACAGACAAACAGGAAGTTGACATTAGTTTTGAACAAAAATGTATCCCACCATATGGCATGCCTCAGAGAAGATTGTGTAAAAATTTCAAGCATCTGCGATGAGTAGTTGCTGAGAAAACTGCGACGGACATTTGTAACGGACAGACACACGGACACACAGACAGCTAGGAGGACAGACAGACAGACACACAGGGTAAAACAGTATACCCCCTCTCCTTCAGAGTGGGGGTATAAAAATTCACAATTTTTTATGAAGCACTCTTGCTCATCATAACTATATACTACGTTTGTTTAATACCCAGGAAGAGGAAGATTTTAAATGGATCAATGTATTTATACTATATATAATCAAAAGATGCCCCCGTACACCAAAACCAGGGGCCATGAAATTAACAAATTAATGTATTTTTACTATATAATCAATAGAGCCCCGCCCTAACACCAGAACCCCTGACCCAGGGGCCATAAAATTCACAATTTTTGAAGAGGCACTTTTGATCATCATAATTATGTACTTGGTTAGTTTGTTTAATACACAGGAGCAGAGGAGAAGTTTTTCAAAGAAATAATGCACTTTTACTATATGATCTATACCCATAGATGCTGTATACAAAATTTGGTTAATATTGGTTCAGTGGTTCTAAAGAAGAAGCTAAAAATGTTCAAAAGTTTACGAAATAGCAATAGGTCACCAGAGTTTAATAAAGGACTTTAAAAAATGTATTATGAATGGTACGAACAGACACACAATGGTAAAACGTATACCCCCCCCCCCCCCAGGTCCTTCGGACGGGGGTATAAATACTTACCACTGACATCTGTGGAGTAGCTTCTCTCCGTTCTCTCACTACATGTACTTAGGGAAGGGCTATATCTTTCGAAAGCTGTAATAAATAGAAATGTTTGTGTATTGGAAATTTAAAAAGAAACTTTGTGTCAGCCAATGCTCACAATATTATCTCACTTGTATGATTGATTGATTGTATATTGTTTCACGTTCCTCTCGAGATTTTTTCACTCATATGGAGTGACAGTGAAGGGCTTCAAATTAGACCTATACTCAGCACACAGGTCCATTGAGCAGTGAGGGTATTTTATCATGCCAACCCCTACCGCGACACCGGAGCTACATTTTAAAGGTCATATCCGAAAGACCCATGACATTCACTTCTAGTGCCGAGCGCTTGGCGAAGGAACAGTCACTGCCTTTGTTTATGTGTTAGGTATGACGCGGCACCGCACCGAGAATCGAACCCGGGCCTCCCGATCACGAAGCGAACACTCTACCACTAGGCTACTGTGACCAGTCTTATTTATATGATGATCATATGCTAAGTGCATTTTGAGATTTTTTTTTTAAAAAGTACTGTATAACCCTAATATTCCGTACACTTTATAGTGTAATCCTAATATCCTGAAGAATATGTCCCTAAGTCTGTGTTGAAGGTAAGTATAAATTAAACATTATACCGGTATGTTGATCATAATTAATTTTTTTTCTAGACTCTTATTTACAGAGTGCTTTTACAGCTATAAAAAGAAACTAGAGCCGAGCTCGTTGCAAAGCAACGAGTAGGTCTTCCGTCCTGTTTGACCGGAAGTAACTTTCATTTGAAAAAAAGAAGAGTAATGAAGTCGAAAAATGGTTTAATCCTCCAAATCTATGTTCATTTTTGCAAAATCAAGCCATTTTTGACAACTTCCGGTTTGACCGGAAGTACCGTCAACGGACGGAAAATTAAGATTTAAGCTTCCAGTGACATATGATATCCAAAAACCTGTCAGGAACAACAAAAATATGCAATTTTTGACTACTTCCGGTTTGACCGGAATTGACGTCCCCGGACGTATTTTGACAACCTCATTCGATAAAGCTTGACATTTTGAACAACTTTGCTTATTTGACGTATTATAAATTCTCAATACTTTTTGAGATATTGAACAAAAACTTTCAAGGGCTCTAGATCCCTAATTTTAGGGGCCAACCCCTTTTTAATGATATCAAATGAAAGCGCTTGTAATTATGCACAACTTTTATTCAACATGTCTTAACAAAATATTTTTAGTTTTCAAGATAAAAGGAAAATATCTGTAAATTTTTGCTCTTTTAGGCGTTCTAATTTTTGACCCCTATATAGCGCCATTTTGAATGCAGAAATCGAAAAACCCCCACCGACGTGCGCAACTTCAATCCTTCTGTTATCTAAAACAAGTAAAATTTTTGCTCCAGCTTTTGTGGTCTCTGAGCCTTTATCCGGAAACGAAAGCCTATGATTTTTCGTTTAAAGGGGAATAACTCAAAACCGGAAGTGACTTTTTGAAATGTTAGTCATCATTCTGATAGCATTTATAAACGTCTATAACCTCTGAAAATTTGAGCGAAATCCGTTGAGAAATGATTGAGATATGAGGCCTCAAAGTTGGCGTCTAGGAAGTTACCAACAGAATCAGTAGAAGTCTTCCGTTGGAAACGGAAGACCTTAAAAAAAAACATCGTCGCAATATTCTTATGTAAAACACAGTTGAAAATTCTTAATAAAAGGCAGCATATTTTTTATTAAATGAAAAAGACCATAAAAAATTTGGATTATGAATAGTGAATACAGTGTACGTCTAATTAGTTCAAATTTGACCCATATCAATTTTGTTAAGACATATTAAATACAATAACGAAAGGGGTCAAAAGATGGATTCAAAATGGTATCAGTAGCAAAATTATAGATAACAATATCTCGCACAAGAATTTAAACTAAACACATTATACGTACCACTGCAACCCTGTCCAAACCGCAACTCAGACAAATGTTCTGATTGTTGTGCAACTAAGTTGCTGGCTTTCCTGGTGCCACTGGAACCCTGTCCAAACTGGGACTCAGATTTTGCTGATTGTTGTGCAACCAGGTTGCTAGCTCGTCTTATGTAGCTTGTCACAGGTTCAGACGGCGGGGGCTGGGATGGAGGTTTGGATTCTGTACTTTTCTGGAGCTTATCAAAATAAACATCCATAACAAAAAAATATACATGTATTGATTCAGAAAAGTACAATGAAGTGTAAGAACAAATGTAGTATTTTCAATAAAAAAGTTTATTTCACAAACAATTCTTACTGCAAGAATTTTTCATTTCAAACTTATAAGAAATTATTTACTCTTGAAATATCAAAAACCCTACAGGTAATCAATTAGATTTAAAACAGAGATAGCCAATGTTAATGAATTTTGACATAAATCTTAGGTAACATGATGGGCCATTACACTGGATTCAATTATATCTGCAGAACTGTAGCTCTCAGAAAAAAATATTATATTGACAGACCAGAGAGGTACAGTGCCAGCCATTAAAAAAAAACTGTATATTTATTGCGCACAAAAAAGTGCGCATGATTCTGGATAAATTCTTGAAAATCCTTACCCCAATTGCAAAAAAGCTAGATTAAAAAAAAATCCTTATTCCTCTATCAAGTACTCTTATAATTTACATCTGTAAGAAGCACGTTGGACCGAGTTATCTTACAAACAAAATGGCAGTATAAATAGGCGAAATTTTCGATGAACTCAATATTTCAGGACCAGGGGGGCTATTAAAAACAATTATAAGAAATATTTTATTGTGTAAACAGTGAACGAATATGTTAGAAACACACAGTTAGTAATATTTTGAGATGACAGTTTTATATAAAAACAAGGAGAAATAAATCGAGAAACAGCGCACCTTTTTGTGCGCAATAAATATATAGTTTTTTTAATGGATGGTACGGTAGCTCTCCGGTCTGTCAATATACATTTTTCAAAGAGCTACAGTACTGCAGCTATGAATTCAAATGTTATAAATAAAAAAAATCTTCCCATATGCACGGATATAATATCTATAGGGGTGGGTTGGAAAGGGGGGGGCAGAATAGGGTTAAATTGGAGTAAACTCCCTCCCCTAAAAACGCAGAGTTATGAAATGTATCCGGTATTTTATGAACACTAGGACCCCTATAAATATTGTTTGTTTGTTATGAAATGTATCCGGTACATTATGAACACTAGGACCCTCTATAAATATTGTTTGTTTGTTATGAATTGTGTCCGGTACTTTATGAACACTAGGACCCTCTATAAATATTATTTGTTTGTTATGAAATGTATCCGGTACTTTATGAACACTAGGACCCCTATAAATATTGTTTGTTTGTTATGAAATGTATCGGGTACTTTATGAACACTAGGACCCTCTATAAATATTGTTTGTTTGTTATGAAATGTATCCGGTCATTTATGAACACTAGGACCCTCTATAAATATTGTTTGTTTGTTATGAAATGTATCCAGTACTTTATGAACACTAGGACCTCTATAAATATTGTTTGTTTGTTATGAAATGTATCGGGTACTTTATGAACATTAGGACCCTTATAAATATTGTTTGTTTGTTATGAAATGTATCCGATACTTAATGAACACTAGGACCCCTGTAAATATTGTTTGTTTGTTATGAAATTTATCCATTATACTTTATGAACACTAGGACCTCTATAAATATTGTTTGTTTGTTATGAAATGTATCCGGTACTTTATGAACACTAGGACCCCTATAAATATTGTTTGTTTGTTATGAAATGTATCCGGTACTTTATGAACACTAGGACCCCTATAAATATTGTTTGTTTGTTATGATATGTATCCGGTACTTTATGAACACTAGGACCCTCTATAAATATTGTTTGTTTGTTATGAAATGTATCGGGTACTTTATGAACACTAGGACCCCTATAAATATTGTTTGTTTGTTATGAAATCTATCCAGTACTTTATGAACACTAGTACCCCTATAAATATTGTTTGTTTGTAATGAAATGTATCCGGTACGTAATGAACACTAGGACCCCTATAAATATTGTTTGTTTGTTATGAAATGTATCGGGTACTTTATGAACACTAGCTAGTACCCCTGTAAATATTGTTTGTTTGTTATGAAATGTATCCAGTACATAACAGATATGAAGGTGTTTTAGATATGTTTAGACATATATGCAGATTTATTGCTTTTAGCATGAAAAAGTGTCTTAATTTATTATCATTATTTTTGGTTAGAGTTATCTCCCTCCATTTTTAATTTAAAAAAAACAATTTAATCTAGTGAAAAAAATGTTTTAATTGTCATTTCTTATGTTGCAATCCATCTTTCCACCAAGGCATTTAATGATATTATTATTTGGACTTTTATTTAAAAAAAAAAAAAAACGCTTTTTCAAGAAGACTTTAAAACACCATTAAAATTTGATTAAGCCAGGAACTACATGTATATATATATTGTATGCCACATATGATCGAAATATGCATTGCCTTCCATATGATGATCATATGTTTGTTATATATTTAAAAAGTTTGATTTGCTTCATATGATTCACATATGATCCACTTTTTTTGTGATTTATATGAAACTAATCATCTGATTCACGTATGATACACATATGTGGATCATATGTAGCGAAGTTGCCTTTGACACTATATATATTGAAAACTAAGCTACGTACGAAACTATCCATAGATTATTTGTAATTTATAATCCATGGTTATCCCACTATTCCTGTATGTGTTTTAATTGTTTTGCTTAAACCATATATCTGGGTGCTCCGAATTTACTGTAAGTCATATTTTATTCGTGAGCACTTTATTTTGGCGTAATACCGTGACATTGCTGGTTTCAAATTGAGCATATTTAAAAATTATCGCCAGGCGGAGTAATCCTTTTTGACGTTAGTTATTTTTAGGCAAGTTATGTTGTATAATATAAAATAAATCTTTTATTCAATCAATGGACGTGTTACAATTAAAATTAAATTATTCTGGTATAAATACACCTTTAATTTTCTTGATAACATACAAGTCATTATTTAAGTTACAATTTTTTGAGGTCACTATTTACAATGTATTACAATCTAAATAGGTATTAGATTTGTTGTTCAAAGTTAAAATGAAAAAAGTACTGATAAAAAAAAACCTTCACCGGATTGACTCTGAGAGGTGCTATGTACCTTAAGGAGGATCTCTACACCTATAAAGTATATTGATTGATTATATGTTGTTTAACGTCCCTCTCGAGAATTTTTCACTCATATGGAGACGCCACCATTTGCCGGTGAAGGGCAACAAATTTTGTTCTATGCTCGGCACTCGGCACTCGTGCCAGCACCTTCTGCGACACGGGGCCTCGGTTTATACGGTCTCATCTGAAGGACCGGTCTCCACGTCCCACAGTGGGATTCGAACCCGCGACGTAAGGATTGGCTCCTTACCTCGCGAGGTTTATTCAAGCTATTCCCACTTTTTGAAAATCTGGTAGAAAAAGGTAAAATTTCATGTGGGAGTAGGTGGAATTTTTGTGTAAACAAATAATTAGCTAAATAAACATTTCATTACTGTGAAGACAGTAATTATTAAACCACTGCGAGTAGAGGACAGGTAAATTTGCTATTTTAAATTTAAAAATCTCTCTTTTTACTTCTATTTCAATGAGAAGTTAGACTTTTTCAAATAAAAAAAGCAGATAAATTATTTATTTTTATTCATTAAGAAATCACATTGCAAAAGACTGGTGTATGGTAAAACATTTCATAATATAGAGCAATTTTTTTTTTAATTAAAAAAATTTTCATTATGATTATACACATGCAAAAATATATATTTCAGTGAATTTAAGTATATTTTTAATATTTTTGATAAACATATTTATTTTCTGTCTTAAAATGTTCAAGATAATGGAAAAATACAGGTAAATCTAAGAAGGGATGTAATTAGTCTAATTACTGTAAAAACCAATTAACTTATCAAAACATCTATTGTTATTTGCAAGTGGGAATAGGTGGAATTGAGATTTTTAAAAAGTGGGAATAGCTAGAAGACACCCCTCGCGACTCTAGAGCAGACGCCCTAACCACTGCGCCACGCAGGCGACCCCTATAAAGTATAAGTGATTTTTGTTGCATGCATTTGTTTCTAATAATAGGCTGAATATCCGATAAAATAAAGTTCCAAAGTATTTCAATGTATTTTTTGGAAATATTTAAAATATTTTATTTATTTTGTTAAAACCCCTTCTATCTGTATTTTTTAGAGCCCAGTGCTTGAAATTTCTCTTCAAAGTTAAATGTTATAAAATATTGAAATAATAACGAACAAAGTTAAAAAATAAAATTAACATAATTTTTATTCAAATTTACAAAAATAGACAAAAGAAAAACTAAAACAGCATTAATATTTTCTTGAGAATAGCTGGTTGGATCTTCTCCAATATCTGAAAAGATATATAATATCAAAGGGTTCAAACAATGAAAAAAAAAAAATTCAACCAAATTGGAAAACTGTCAAAAATTTCAAACATCACAAAAATTTAGCTGTGAGAGATCCGCTTTAAGAGTGGGCTCAAATATCTTGGTACTGTTTTTTTTTTATAACTTTCAACATGTGTGGAAAAAAATGTCAAGCAAGGACATTGAAAGAAGTTCGTATTGTACATGTATTGTTTTTCAAACCATCACGTTTCCAGTCAATGAAAAAGACATGTATTTAGTGAATTCATGGTATTAAGAAAGGTAGATTTACTTACCGTTTTTATCCAACTTGCATGTGTTATCCAGTGCTAGACAAAACATGGTAAATGCATGGCCAAAAGAAATTCCTATAACTAAATTCACACTTCGTCTAAAACCTGCACGTTCCCCATACAACCAGCTGATAATCAATGTTGATCAAACGTTTTGGTCATCCGAAATTCCACTTACTGTCGAAACGTTTTGGTGATTTCATAACGAGTTTAAATTTCACCGGGTACAACCATTCATACGGGTGTATACGAATCGTGAACAGAGTATCCTCTATCGATGAGGCCCCGTGGGGATCCGGGTTAGAATAGGTCCTCAGTACCCCTTGCTTGTCGTAAAAGCTGACTAAATGGGGCGGTCCCTCGGAAGAGACCGTATAAACCGAGGCCCCGTGTCACAGCAGGTGTGGCACGATAAA